AAAGAGGAAAATAAATTTTATGGTAAAAGAAGCGCCGACAAACCCGAGAGCTCTACGAAAAATTGTGACACTTGCATAGCTTTGAAAGAACAAGTCACAAAACTTGAGAGTACAGTTAAGAAATTTAATACTCCGCACAAAGATCTTAATTTACTCCTTGACACTATGCACTTTTCTAAAGAAGGAATAGGCTTTAATAAAAATGAAGCTAAGGATAAAGAAAACGTTGAGCAAACACCTAGACAACCTCCTAAGGCTCAACGTAAGAAAGCTAAAAATCAAGTTAATAGAAAACCTAGTCAATCTAAGAACACTAGACAACCTAGACAAAAACCTAGGAATGAAAACGTTCATAGTAGACAACCTAAGAAAAATTATCAAAATGACTTTGTGCATAAAAATAATTTTTATCAAAATAGAAGAGACAATATGAGAACACCTAGAAATGATCCTTTTGAAAACATGCATAAACCATCCTTTTCTCAAAATAGGACAAACATGGTTAGGCCCCCTAGCTATTATCAACCTAAGCATATGTTCAACCCAAACGTAGTATGCCATTATTGCAATAGGGTAGGACATATAGCTCCCGTGTGTTTCACTAGACATAGGCACTTGACCTTTAATGAAACACACACCATATTTAGTGCTGACGAAAAGAAATCATTTAGAAAAGGATATTCGAATCATAAACAATCTCCACAGGATAATGCACAAAAGAAACCTTACTATTTCTTCTACTTTGATGAAAAGAAGAAAGTCCACATTCCGTTACCGGAACCTACACAAATCACACCAAGATATCGGCACTCCGTTCAGGTAGACTGGAACCCGCCAACCACGAGATCATGGGTTGGCCAAGGTAATTCTTAAACGATCATCTAATCGTGTGTGTGTGTGCGCGTGTGTGTAAGGAAATGAATTTTGGGTGTGTGTGGGCAATAAAGGTTAACTAACCCCCAAGGACCCATAGACATACTTTGGGTACCAAAGTGTTGTTTTTTTTGCAGGTACGTATCAAAGTGAGAAACTCAGGGGGGACCAGCGATGGGTGGTTTATCCCATCGCTGGGAAGGAAGTATTTTCTAACCAGCAGCCCTCTTCCCATCGATGGGAACTTCTTCCCATTGCTGGGTGTTTGACAACTTTAAAAAAAAATATATTCCAGCAGCTGTCTTCCCATGGATGAGAGAACCTTACCATCGCTGGGAAGGCTGCCTTCACTTTTTTTCTCCCTTTCCAGTACCTGTCTTCCCATCGATGGGAGAACCTTACCATCGCTGGGAAGCCTGTTGCAGTTCAAAAATCATAGCCGTTGGGCACCTCATTCAATGACCAACAGCCATATTTTTTAACACCAAGGGCCCAAATTCTCATTTTATAAATATTAACCATCCTTGGTCATTTTTAACACACAATTCACATTCCTCTTGCATACTTTCTAAACGCTTCAACAATGGCCAGAGGAAAGTCAACAACACAAGGCTTCAACAAGAAACACACAACCAATTAGCCGACATTTTCACAAAACCTTTAGAGAAAGAGTCGTTCTTCCGCATTCGTAGTGAACTCGGAATCCTTGACTCCACGATGATCTAATTTGTGCATTTTATCATTCTTTTATTGTTACTGGAACGTTTACTAACTTGAGCGTCAGAGGGTTTTCTAACTCTTTTTTGCAGGGACAGTTTGAAGTGAAGAATTCTGGAAATCAGGGGGAACTAGCGATGGGTGGATTGTACCATCGCTGGGAGGGAAGTGTTATTTTTTTCAGAACCCCTCTTCCCATCGATGGGTGCTTCCTCCCATCGATGGGTAATTGACTCTTTTTTTAAAAATACTTAACGGATTTCCAGAACACCTTAACCCATCGATGGGTATTTTATCCCATCGCTGGGTGAAGGACTTTTATCAAAAAAAAATTTTCAGAACCTCCCATCCCATCGATGGGAACTTTCTCCCATCGCTGGGTGTTTGACACTATTTTTTAAAACGTCTTAACGGATTTCCAGTAGGCACCCTCCCATCGATGGGTGAGCTTGACCATCGATGGGAAGGCAGCCTTGTTTTTCTTCTCGCTTTCCAGTAGCGACCCTCCCATCGATGGGAACTTCCTTACCATCGATGTTAAGGCAGTTGAAATTCAAAAATTATGGCCGTTGGGTACCGAATTTAATGCCCAACAGCCATATTTTTTGAATTCACACAGTTTTATCTTCCTCTCCCTATATATTCACATCATCCCTTACATTCTTAACACACAATTAACACCTCTTTTTCATTCCTTTAGCCAATTTCATCAATCTTTCGTAAGAAGCGCTTCAATCATGGCCGGAGGAAAATCCAAGTCGAAGGCCTCCAAGAAGAAGGGCAACGCCAAGCGACGACCTCAGCGCCCCCGCTGTTTCCCTACCAGGACGGCTCTTTCCTCGAGTTCGGGTCGGAGGAAGAACTAACCCGCTTCCTCACGCACTTCGCCAAGCGGCCGATCTGTCTGCCCCGAGTGCTCCCGGAACTATTTCCCCAACAGAAAGGGTACCACGACCTCGACAATCAGCTCAAGGAGTCGGGTTTGTGGCCCTTCGTTTCCAAGAGCCGCACCTCCTTCAATCCCATATGTCCGGGCCTTCTACTCAAATCTCCGCCGGGACGGGGACACCATCCGCAGTAGCATCAATCTCTACGACTTGGAGATTGATTTGGCTACCTTTGCTCGGGTCGCAGAGCTACCCACCCGCGGTGACGATATCGCGTCGTACGGTGGCGACGATTGGATCCTCAACAACGAGGCCGTCGTCATCCGTGAGCTCGGGATCACCAACTTGATCCGTCACAGCGGCGCACCGACGATTCACTCGGCCCCACCGGAGAAGCGCCTCCTCCTCTACATCCTCACCCGGATCCTCCACCCCCGGGATGGCAGCCACACCTCGCTCTTCAACGACGACTTGAGGGCAATTCATGCGATCATGCACGGCGCCTCCATCAATTGGGCAAAATACGTCATGATTCACATGGCTGATTGTGCCTCCATCACCTCCGAGCGGAGCTTGCCCTACACCTTCCTCGTCATGGACCTCATCGTCTCCGCCGACATCCACATCG